GATTTATGGGTAACTTCTCAGTTTGCATTCACAGTACACATGTCATCTTCAACAACCCTGCTTGCTAAGGCTGGGAAGATGCCTGCCATTGTACGGAACATTAGCAAACTTGCTGTTTGAAATGTATTTCTGTAGGTTTTTTTTTTTTTAATATTAGGAATAAAAAAGTCAATTAGAGTCTTTAGATTTCTACCAGCGAACAGGGGATACAGAGGCCATTTCAACAGGGTCACTATGTTTCCCTTCTGTTAAGATTTAGCAATCAGAAAGCACAGGCAATTTCTATTATATCCTATTGACATTTTCACTCTAAAAATTTAGATCAATACTGTAGCTAAGTCAAAACAGTTTAGCCCCATAATCTCTGGGGATGAAATTCTCTCTTTCATGAGACTCTAAAGGTTAATCTGGTCATATTTGGAAATTCTCATATACATCTTCTGAGTGATATGAAACTAAGTCCCTGAAACACAACAAAAAATGCCAATTCATGTAGCACCCTGGAACATGAAGGAGAAAGGTGAGCAGGAGACTTGAAAAGAGAAAGTTGAGTGCCCTGGGGGTTGACCTTAGAGTCTTTTCTCTGATTCCGGATGGTGGTGGCAAGCAGAGATAGTACCTAGGAAGGTGAAAACAGGAGAATGCCGAGGAGTCTTTTTTCTTTGGAAGTTGCTGTGAACTTTAACACTGAAGTCCATTATCTTATTAAAATACTGCGTTGAAAGCCATCAGTGAAGTCCTTTGAGCCAGACCCAATATTTTTTCTTTATTGTCATCCTTTTAATTCTTACTCAGACATTTAACCCTACTTTGAACACTCGGTGTCTTTATTGCACTAACTCTTTGACGAACCTCTTCTGCTTCCTCTCTATTGTTCTAATGGGAGCCATGCAACATGACTTAGCTTTGAATAATCCAAAAGTATCAGCCCCATCATTAAGCATCTCCTTCTTCCTCTATCTTCACTTATGGAGCAAACACAACATTCCATCCCATTTAATCCTTCTAGCATGTCAATAGCCTACCCTACTAACTGTTAGTTTCTATCAATCTGATATTGATTGCGTCTGTGTGCGCGTATGCCTATGTGTATGAATCTGTGTGAATCTCTGTGTGACTCTGTCTCAGTCTCTGCACATGTGAGTCATATTTACTCAATTTCATCGTAGGTGCTTAAAAAATGAAGATTTTACGGGCAACTTGAGGAGGTATTTTAGTCAGAACTATGATCAAACCATGCTGCTCCACATAACTAACATTTATGGGTCACTAAAGCTTTCTGAGTCCAACTATCTTATCTTTAAAATGCAAATAACAATACTACTCACGCCCTGAGATGGAATAAAAAAACAAATAAGCATTTGAGGGGGACTCAAAAAACCCAGATTATCTTTTGGAGGGCAGGCCTCTTGTAGTACAAGCTTCTTCTGCTAGGCAAGTATTTTAGAAAACTTGAGGCATCAGTGTACCAGCTAGTGTTGTGAGAAGCTGTGTTCGGCTTCAGTGAATTTTTTTTTTTTAAGCTTCTTTCAATGCATTTGTTCTTTTCATGATAGATTATTTATGAGTGCATCTGCCCACGCTGTGCTGAGGGTCCAGTAGTTTTTGGTCAAAAGTCATATGAACCCTATGTTCCACTCTCGCTATTCATTCACCCAATCTCAACCCAAGCAACTTTTTTTGTTTGCTTCCTCAGATGAATAAAGTCCTCAAAAAGATGTGTTTTGCCCATGTGGAAGAGGTGAAACAAAATGGGCAGAAGCAGTAAAAGGCATTAAAATGGACAACAAACAAACAAAAAGCCCTGTTTGGAGCAGCGGAAAAAGCATCTTGACAGGTGTATTGCATCAAATGGAGAGTACTTTGAAGGTGACTGAAGTTTACACATGCAAGAAAAAATGCACAATTTTTAATAAACAAATTCTGGTTTTTGAGGGAGGTCTTCCTTGTATAATACATATAGCATACAGTGGACCCTCAATATATGATTTCTTCCTGTGTTTTAAACTTTTTTTTCACATTACTCATTCTAGTAACACAATATTGAGTTCAATTTCTACATTTTGGTTGGATTTTGAAACTCACAGGTTTAGGAAAGTTACCATGTATTGTACCAATCAACCAAATCTTTCTACCACATTCTCTCAACACAGCAACTTATAAAAGCCTTAATCTCAACAAGTCACTTAAATGACTAACTGATATTTGTATAAAGAAATGCAAATGCCAGGAAAAAGATGCACAATACTTTTTATGTGATCATGTGTCTTTTAAATATTAACAGAGTTATTCATGGTGTTTTTTTGCATGGGTCTATAATATGAAAAATACAGCATCTAATTTATATGTGTTAAGTTCACTTACTATGAGTTATTTTTTTGGCCTTAATTTTTATTCAGTAATTAACAGACTCACAGATAGTAAAATTTGCCAAGGAAGATTATATCAATAGAAAATAGAAGCAGGACTCAATAAATTTATAAAAATAAAGACTGACATCCTGACATAAAATCTTAGGTATTATACAAAAAGTATTTTTCTACCAATAAAACAATAAGGATTTAAACTTAATGCACCAAAGATTGAAGCCTGAGTGACATAAAAATGTTTCTTAACCCCAAAGAATCCAGGCTCCTGATGGGCTGGTGCTAGTATAATTATTTATAATATCACTTACTGGTAAAGAGAAAGGAGTGAAACCTTAGACGGGTACTGAGACGTGACTAAGGCGGGTTTGGTTTCTGACCCTACATCACAGAAGTGGAAGTCTGCCGTGACTCAGAGCATTGTGAGGGGCCAGCTGTTCACAGGCATACCTCTCCAGTGTGCAGTCAGACCCTCTGGTGCCGGGAGAAGGCTCACTGGAAAATCATCGTGCATTTGCTTAACTGACATAACCTGACCACCGGGGATGGCAAGGAATGCTCAGTTAACTGCTCTTCGATTTGAAGTTAATTTTCACCGATTCCCAAAGCACATAGGAGATGGTACATGGGTCTAATTAATGGCTACTTAGCTTGTATACTACTGCCCCCGAAAACGATACCAAGAACCATTTTTGCAAAGACTGTGGTAATTTCTTTCTAACATATTGATTTAATTTATTTTTTGAAGGAGTCACTCATTCACTGGGCACAGAAGCAGCCTATATTATTATCACTTGACACATTTATTCTAAAGCCATTTCTCCCTTATCTTTGGAATGTGACATATAAATCTTTCCACTTAGATGAGATACACAACCTGGAAAATTTATGCCATGCTAGATAAGCACACGGCACTTACTAGTAAGACCAACCACTGGTAGGTTCCTTCATTTCAAAAAGAGCCTCTTCTGATTCCGTATGTCTTTGTTAACATTTGTTATCTTAGAACTTCTCAGAAGAATTGGAAAGCAATACAACAGTTAACAGGTCCCAAACTTGGTCATATAAATAAGCTTCCTGGAAATGTGACATTTTATGTTTTAATATTTTGATTACATGCCAAAATATTGCCACTATACATTATTTTTCTTAATCGTGTATTATATTTCCCTTTTAAACTATATCTTGCCTAAAGATGCCCATCTATACAGTTGTATTTTATTCATGAATAGATCAGATTGGGGTTAACAAAAATTACAAGCCTAGGCCGGGCGCGGTGGCTCAAGCCTATAATCTCAGCACTTTGGGAGGCCAAGGTGAGAGGACTGCCTGATCCCAGGGGTTTGAGACCAGCCTGGGTAACTTGGTGAGACCTCGTCTCTACAATAAATCCATAAATTAGCCGGGTGTGCTGGCTCGCGCCTGTAGTTCCAGCTACTTGGAAGGCTGGGGTGGAAGGATCGCCTGAGCCCAGCAGGTCGAGGCTGCAGTGGCCATATTGTTTTGCTTGGTTTTGGACAGTATAAATAAAGCATTTATATTTCAATGATAATTCTTCTAAATATGCCACCTCCTCTAGGAAGACTTTTCTGAATCTTCTCTACCATGATTAAACTTTTTCCCGTTGTGCTCCTATGATATTCTGTTTTTACCTATTTTGTATGAATCTGACTTCATGTCTGTTCCCTCCTCTAGACTGAGTTCCTTGTGGTGGGGACTGTTATATTCATCTTTGTCTCCTCAGCAGTTAGCAAAATGTTTGACACATAATGTTTGCTTATTGAGTGTTCACTCCTTGAGGCTGGGCATCGTGGTGCATGCTTATAATACCAGCACTTTGGGAGCCTGAGGCAGGAGGATTGCTTGAGCTCAGGACTTTGAGACCAGCTTGATTAACATAGCAAGACCTCCTCTCTACAAAAAAAAAAACCCCAAAACTTTTTAATAGTTGAGCTTGGTGGTGCATGCCTTTAGGTCCCAGCTGCTTAGGAGGCTGAGACAGGAGGCTCACCTGGGCCTAAGAGGTCGAGGCTATGGTAAGCCATGATTGCACAACTGTACTCCAGTCTGGGTGACAGAGTGAGACCCTGACTCAAAGAAAAAAAAAAGTGTTCACTGGATAAATAAACAGTGTAAAGTTGTTAATCCGTGATGTTCCAGTCTAACGACACGTAAGAAAAATAAGGTATTTCCTGACAGTGAAACAAACACCATAATTGGCTAATTTGACAAGCAGCCATTAAGAGCCAAGTCATAGACTGTTTGCTGATTTAGTTCATGGTCTACAAATAGTACCATTTGAAAGCCTTGAATTGATAGACATAACCTTACCTCGCTATTCTGAATGTCATTTGTATTTAACGATGGGGACCACAGACACAGTCTTCAAATTGTTCTTGATAATGAAATGCAAAAAAAAAAAAGGAAATAATCTGTGTACAAATTTATATGTATTTCAATATCTGGATCTTGAAATTCATAACAGAGAGGTGGAGTCATTTTATATGGAGAATGGAAAGTCAGGAGTCTTATCACACAGTGACGTCATTGCTTCCATGGAATATTTTCGGACCAATAGGAGCTTGCGAAGAACTTTTACGAACAGTATAAATATGCTGAGCTGTAGGCATCATTACCAGCTGATGTGTTCTTTCCTCAGGACCAGCTGTTCTGGAGCATCCCGGACTGGAGCCAGGCACATTTGAGACTTGGATCTAACCGGAGACTGCTGTGGCCACTTCTGCAGCCATGTCGGTGTTAGAAGAGAGCCGGCCTTTTGCTCAACAGTTATCCAATGTCTACTTTACGATCCTTTCGCTCTTCTGTTTTAAGCTTTTTGTGAAAATCAGCCTCGCCATCCTCAGTCATTTCTACATTGTGAAAGGCAACCGCAAGGAAGCTGCAAGGATAGCTGCTGAATTTTACGGAGTAACCCAAGGGCAAGGTATGTTTATGATAATCCTCTCTTGTTTCAAGTTCACTTTAACTACCATTTGATCCCCTGTCCGAGGAAACATCACATGTTTTCTTTACGAACCACTTCAAAGTGAATATTCTGTAAACTAGTGTTAAGGAAAATACTTGGAGCTGACTTCATGGCTTTATGAAAAAGAAAGTTACTTTTTGTGTGTGTAAATATTTGGGTTAGAATCAAGGTTATCATTGCAAAATAGATAGAGGAAAACATACTATTAAATGTATACATTTATTTTTCTATTCGGATACAATTTAAAAATTTAAGCATTTAATTTGCCGAACTATATTTTTAGCTTTAGAAGTAACTGATTGCACCTCAATTCTTCTTTAACGTGTACCTTGAGTGCATGATTTTAAATAAAATCGTTGTGATTTTATTTAATTGTGATTGATTGAAAGAAGAGGACTTCACAATTTTGTTTCTCACAACTTTATTTTAATAAGATTAACTATTTGATTCTAAAGTAATGCTCAAAGAGTAAAGATTTATGGCATGTGTATTCCTGATGGAATTGCTATTGCTTTATTCAGTTTGTGAAAAATTGATTATAAAAGGATGGGAACACAATTCACAAATTTTTTATATGTGGGCAGTCAAAGGCATTGTGTTCCTTAGAAGAAATTAAAGTTTGAAACCAAATGAGAAACAATAATTTTAATTATAGACTTTAAAATTTGTAAAACGGTTTGCATTTTACTGAAACAATATTCTGGACAATCAAAAGAATTCATAGGGTGGGCTTCAAAGTGCCATTTGAATTTCTTATCATCTTGAGATTCATTTCTGATTTGATAATCAGCACATATGCATGAACATTTTGCAGACCTGTTACCTCTAAAGCAATTTAAATTTTCAGAATCAAAATTTATTGTTCCATAGCTATACAATGTAAACTTTTTAAAAAGAGCAGTAAGAGTAGAAAGTTTGCCTTCTTAAAATCTATTTTTTTATGTTTCTCAATGTGCAAAATCATTCAATTAAAAATCTACATTACTCTATCAGTACATGGAAAGTGAAAGTCGAGTGAAGGTGGAAATTTCTTGTTGGTGCGTGAAGTCAAGAATAAATATATTGTCCTCGAACATTGCTTTATATGCAAAGTGAGAAATTTATGTACTCACTCAAAGCAGGGAAAATCTAAGTGCTCACAAGAAATTCTCACAGGGAAGATGAAATTTCGAGGAAATAGGCAGCATTTAATCCTCCACCTACCAGTCCTGCTCCAGAACAGAAAGAACTGACTCACAGTGTAATACACATACTATGTGATTCAACTGCAAATAAAAACTTTTGTTGGTAAAATGGAACATCTGTGTACAAAACAGCAAACATAGAAAACTAGAAAACAGAAGGCATATTCCAGATATAAGACTAAATAGATTATAGGGTCCTAAGGTGGCATAATTTCCCCTCATGGGCAGCCCGTGACTCATAACTTCATAATCAAATCTGGTGTACGTATTATAAGAAATGTCTTTTGTTAGAACATGAAATATTGGCTTAAAAAAAGAAACTATTTTGTGGGTTGATAAGGGTTTTCGAGGAAGCTACAGAAACTTCTTTCTGTACTTATTTACAAATGAAACAGTTATCTCTCTTTAGATTGATCTCAGTGTGCTTAAGCTGGTTAATCATAGGCATATTTGAAATGGTCTTCATGTTCTCATCTACTTTTATGATTCTATTTTTTTCTGAGTTGGAGTCTCACTCTGTCGCCCAGACTGGAGTGCAGTGGCCACTCCCGGCCACCGCAGCCTCGACCTGCTGGGCCCCGGCGATCCTTCCACCTCAGCCTTCCGAGTAGCCGGAATTACAGGCATGCGCTACCACGCCCGGCTGATTTTTTTTTATTTATTTATTGTAGAGATGAGGTCTTGCTGCCCAGGCGGGTCTCGAACCCGCGGGCTCAGGTAATCCACTCACCTCAGCCTCCCAAAGGCACGGGATTACAGGCTGAGCCACCGAACCCGGTTTATGATTCTATTTTAAGATAAACTAGAACGCTAGGATTTTGTCCCACGACAGAAGAAAGAAGGAAATCAATCCTAATAGAAAACAATTTTCCTAGAAATATAGAAAGGAAAAATTTTTTAAAAACTTTTTTGTGCTGTTTTTAATGTTAGATCTATTTAATAAAATGTTCCCTTCCGTGTCATGCTGTATATTGAACAGTAAGATACATTATTATAACTTTTAATCGGTGTAAGCATAATTAGCCTCTAATTGTATTTTAACATTAGGAGAACAAATCAGGTACCTTATAAAAAACTCTTTCTTAATCTACTTGTAAGGGTTCATTCTTTTCTACCCAGAAAATTATTACTTTCTCCATTTTAACGTAGCTTTGTTCTTTTATTTACTATAATTAAACTTTTATTTTGTTTTTGTTTTTATAATGAACTAATTGGACTTAATTATCTTTGCTTAATCCAGCCACTTCCTCCTTCTTGGGGAAGATTATCACCTCCATTCCAACTTGAGTTAGGTTTCTCATTCTTAATTTCAAGGCTTAGCCAGACCGCTCCCCAACATTTCTGATGTGGAGTGGCCAGATTCCATGACATAAGAGATGATGTGTGTATTTTCATTGCTTTCTTGCTCACAGAAGACTTTGTTGACAACATCCTGGATGTCCTCCCTGCAATAGTACTTTTGGCATGAAATAAAAGGAGCTGCTAATTTTCCTAGGTACTATTGCAAATCAGCTCATTGTATTAGGCAAATAGTAGAGTAGTTTTTTTAAGCACTCTCCAGTCAAACTTGAGACCAAGTTATGACCACATGAGAATGCTAAAAAGCTAAATGGTGTCTGAAATAGCTTAAGATAGTTCCTTCTTGGTCCCTTTGCTATTTCATTAAACTTTACAAATCCATCTTTTCATCTCTGAAGACTTTGAACAACCCCACCATCATATGGAAAGGTCCTCTTCTCTGTTTGCTTTTCTAACTACCTCCTATATCATTCTTGCTGTTAAATGTCCTGAGTATAATCTCTATATATCAGAAGTCTAGTTTATTTTTGCAGCTAGCATTGTACTTTGAGACTGTCAATGAGACTAACAGGAGGTGAAAGGTGTTTTCAATTGTAGTGTTCAACAGTATAGAGAGCAAATGGAAATATGGGGAAACACATTTGGTGACATCCCTCCAAAGGCCTGAGAAAGTCACAAACTTCTCCTAGCCCAAGGGCACCTCAAGACGCAGCTCCTTTCTTCTATTTAGGGCCGTACTTTTCGGGTTCTATCTTAGACTCTGATGAAATTTAGCAGTTTTTATCTACAAGTGGAGAAGGCCCGTTGGAAAAACCTATTTTTTGAACATCCTTGATATCAAGACACTGAAGATACAGGATACATAAAAGGCAAAAGGTATTATTCCCTGCTACTTTGATTAGAAGTATTTTATATTCTAATTGAAGAGACAGGATATCTATATGTAATGATTGATTTCCAGAATACTAAATGTCAAATGAATCTAAAGAATGAAAGGGTCAAGCCGGGCTTGGTGGCTCAGCCAGTAATCCTGCGCCTTTGGGAGGCTGAGGTGAGTGGATTGCCTGAGACCACGGGTTCGAGACCCACCTGGGCAGCGAGACCTCATCTCTACAATAAATCAAAAAATCAGCTGGGTGTGATAGTGTGCACCTATAATTCCGGCTACTCGGAAGGCTGAGGCGGAAGGATCTCCGGAGCCCAGCAGGTCGAGGCTGCGGTGGCCGGGAGCGGCCACTGCACTCCAGTCTGGGCGACAGAGTGAGACTCCAACTCAAAAAAAAAAGCATGAAAGGGTCATTTTTAGATTTGAACTTTCAGAGATATTGTTGCAGAAGAGGAAAATCTTGACCCCAGGAGTGAACGAAGTCATGAATTTATGGGTGCACAGGGAACACTGGGAGACAGTAGATTTGGCCTGAGTCAAGAGTTCATGCAGTAGAAAAATAATAGTAAGTTAGACCTAGATATGAAAACATTTAATTGGCAGGGTAAGCAATTCAGACTTAACTTTAAAGGTAATAGGAGTCATTGAAAGTTTCTGTTATGAGTGAAGGTATGAAAATAAGAAAGGTTATGTATGGAACCATAATTTAATGTAGATTTATATAGACACAATATTTGAAATTAAATAATGTGACAGGTTTGAAGTAGACTGACCAATTAGGACCTTGCCATAAGCAGATGAGGACCTAGACTGGTTTGGTGATGATGGTGTGGACAGAAAGGAAAAAAAAAATGACAACAAAAAACAAAGAAAAAAAAAAAACGAAGAAACAAATCTGATGGTGCTTTAAATAGCATTGGCAGAGAGCACAGAAGTTACCTTAGAGTAATCGAATGTCTCCCGGAATCAGATTTTTTTTAAATTTTATTTTAAAGCTTTGGGGTACAATTCAGGGTTAGGTATACAAGTGTTCATTATGCAAGAACCCTTGTTGATGAGGTGTGGCCCTCACTCCCCTGGCAGTTTCCCACTACTGCCAATCCCACGCCCCTCCCCAGCAGTTTTCCACTACTGCCAATCTCTTTCTTATAGTATTGTGATAATTGTTCAAGGTCTGCTTATGAATGAGAACATGTGGTACTCAGTTCTTTGTTCCAGAGTTAGATATTAACATGTTAGTCAGAAGAGAGCTTTATTAACTACAAGTCTGCAGTTCTCAGCCAAGGCCACCCCTCAGAGGCGGACCCTTAGCTGTTGGTGAGAATGATAGGTTACCTGCTTGTCTCTACTGGGAAATGTCAAGATAAATCAGGAAGTAGTAGAGCTAGAATCTGAATTCTCGTCATCCATTTGACTTATTTAATGCATTCTGTTTGTTCTATGCTTCAAAAGAAAATCACTAAGTAGCCTTCTAATTATTATTTGGCTTCCATCTAGATCTGTCCACAAAAAGAGAATGTGCTAACTTGTCTTCTGGAATGTTTTAGTTCATCCGACATTTATAGTTCTTGTAAATTAATATATTTGTG